TTAGCTGGAAAGCAAAAGTTGAAGCAAGTGAAATAACTTATAACCAAATTCAGGATGCAATCTCATTATGCTGCATTGAATTAGCATTAGCTTGCAATGCGAGCACTGCCGCTGGGTAATGAGGTCACCGCAGCCACAGAATTGGGGCAGCAGAAATATCAGCTTTTCTCTTCTTTATTGCCCACACTTTGTATAACTATTTGCATTTAATTGTTATAAAGCGATGACGCTTGTCTTGTTTTTGTGACATCACCCATCAACCCAATCTGTCCATCCAGGCCCTCTAACCAAATGGTGCAGACTTTTACATATGGTCATTTCTAAACCACCGCAGCAGCTGGTGAGCACTGGCTACGACATTTTCCGGAACTCAGCTGTTTAAGTCAAACGCAACATGTGGCCTCGCGATTCACGCAGGGCAAAGCTGAGCGCAAAAGGCATGAGAAGTGCTGGAAACACCGGTAGTCAAAGACAGACCTTGTCAGAAAAGTATCGCTGTGTCCCTGGCCCTCGACCCCAATCATAAAACTCTCAGACACAGAGGAAACCCACCAGTAAATCAGCCTGTCGCTGGCTTCACACACTGTTTGATCCTGTTGATATATAGCTTTAATATGTGGTTGGAAAGATGCAATGAAGGGAATGCAGGAGAGAGAGAGAGAAGAGTGGCACAGAGTAACTTTTGACATGCACACAAATAACAGAATTCTTCTTTTGCTAAAATGTTTAAGAGCTGTGAAGTAAACACACAGCAATATTTTCCTAAAGAAAGACTCCATCACACCCAACTATGTGAAATGTATTCATGGGAATGATGCAAACATTGTGACAACACTGGAAATCAGGCTTCTATTCAACATAGGGATCAACATGTAATCATCCTGCCTTTTTCTACAGAAAAGAGAGGGAGGAGGCAGGAGAAGGAGAGCTGCCTGTTTACTTCCGTCAAATTGATACTAATTAGCTGTTAACGTCTTGAAATTGATCTTAATGAATACTACATACACTACGATGATGCCAATGAGGCAGAATCGACCGGAGGTGCCGAGAGTCGAGGAGATGAGAGAGAAGTGGAGGAGGCGCCGGGGAAGCGAGCACACGGGGCAGGTGAGGAGCGAGGAAAGGATAATGAACTGAAAAGAAAGTGAGGATGAAAAGACTACAGAGGAGGGAGAATAGAGAGCAACGCAGATGGTGTAGAGAGAGAGAGAGACATAGAGAGATGACAGAGTGCTGACATCAGAGGGCCAGCGGTCCCCTCGCATCACTCAGCTTTCGTGGAAAATCAATTCTCCCCGGTATGGACGGCATTGTCAACAGCACGCAGGAGCAGCAGCTCCGTAGCCTCGCTCCAACCATTAACAATAACAGACAGAGTGGTAATGGCAATCTTCAGGTATCATTACAGTCACCCTCATCCTCACCAGGGGTCGTGGGCTGTGCATCAGAGTAGGTTCAAGGTTTCGAATACTGTCATGACACGTTTTAAGGTCATTCGATGGGATACGATAAAAAAGGATGAATTTGGAGCTGGAGCGGCAGTGTTACTCCTCTCTGACAAAGGTGAGGACCGGGGCCGGCATTGACTCGCACCCGGGAGGAGTCACAGGAAGAGGGAGGAGGAGGAGGAGGAGGAGGAGGAAGGGGCCATCAGTTCTGCTGCAGTTCTGTGGAACCATGGCAACAGGCATCCGCAGAGTGGGCGACGCCCCCCTCGCTGACAGGTGAGCAGCTACGAGCATGATGGTGACACTGAGGCCCAAAGAGGACAGCCAGCATATTTTTACATCAGCATTTACTTGAATAAATGGTTTACTTAAAACTAGAGCCTTTTATTTTTGTATGAAGGAGATTTTCAGAATCTTTTCAGGCATTTCAGACGTTACTTTTACATTGTGGTGTGTTTTTTTTGTCGTTGTTACATTTTTCATGTCTAACAAATAGTTCCGCATTGAACCTTTTCACCCTGTGCTGCTATTTGTTTGCCTCTGTGTTGCTCTCCATCCGACCAAAGGAACCCTGATAAGAATCCAATCTCCCTTCCCTTATTTATAGACACGAATGAACTACTCATTCAAGACAAGGCCTGTTCCGAACGGGCCTGATGCTCGGCTCGCCGTGTGTCTGCTCGCAGATATAAAAATGTTGAACTGATAATGTCAGTGAATAATGAGTTTCCCCCATAGATAAATGGAAAATCATATCCGGCATGTGAAAAGGGCTTCTTCTAAAAAACAGCAAGAGCATTGTGTGCGAAGACCCTGAGGGGGACTTTAACTTCTTGTGAACTTATAACAAACACAACCGCTGTTTCCTGCCTTCCACTTGCAACTCCTTTGGCGATAGTGACTTTGAATTTGGTCGCGCTTGATCAAAACACACGACCACCATTTTTTTCCACTCGACACAACAAATGGGACGTAGCCGTCTCCCGTCACGCCACCACCGGTGAGGCTGCGGAGATGACGCCTTCCCCCCCTTTCGCCGCGGCACCATTTGTTAAAGTGACAGAGGCGGCCTGAGTGCGGCAGTCGTGGGACTCGTGTGTGCGCTGTGATGATAACACCGCGTGGAACTTTGGTGATGAAGTGATTGAAGAGTCAGTGTGTGCTCGGAGTCCATGGAGAGCACGAAACCAGCTACCAACATCCGTCTAACTTTGTCTGCTTACACTTGTACGTGTGTGTGTGTGTGTGTGTGTGTGGAGGAGACAGTATTGTGACAGCTTTGTCTACCCCGCGGTGCGCATGTGTACATGGAAGACCCTCTTTGTGAAAGCATTTCCTGGCTTCGGGTGTGTGTTGTCGGCGCAGTCTGTGCGACGCTGGAGGGCCAAAAAGCCTTAATTTGTTCACGATCTACTGCTGCACGCGGATAAACGTGTTTTGCAAACAAAGGTAATTAGCTCACGACATCCCAGCCGCTCATCAGTGAACTCAGGAAGCAAACTCACGAGGAAGAACGCGTTCACAGTGGGACGCAGTGGCAGCCGAGCGGAGAAGTAGGAATTTGCAAAATGGCGACAGGCCTTGAAAAGCAGCTGCACACAGCTGGAGGCGAGTTTACCAGGAACTGAGTGGGAAGACAGAGAGGAGATGGAGGGATCAGCCCGTGGAAACAGGCTTCATGGGGAGTAGACATGCAAGTGAAGGATGGGATATGGGCCGATGACTCACTCTTTCTAACTTAACAGGCTTTAAAAAAGTGAAAATGACGTGGGGAATTTTTACAGCCCTTTTTTGATGACCATATATCCTGCTTTCTAAAAGTGAGAAAATTCAAAACCTCCACTATGGAGGTTAATAGTTGGTACGTAAAACAGCTTCTGTATCTAAAAACTTTTGAATATTTTGACCCAATTACTGAACAACTTTATACTTTTTGCTAGATATAGTCTGAACGTGCGTGGAGGCTTACAATAAGCTGAAGAGCTTACGTTATTTTCTCAAAAAGGACGAATGCAACAGCAGAAAAAACGGATCGGGTGGTTCTGAGACACCCAAATTCAAACAGTGTTGGTTATCAAAATCTGGAAAATAGAAAGCAAGCTTTTGTCATGATTGCATACATCCCTTCTTCTAATGAGTTTAACATTTTACATCATGACTCTGTTTCTGCATAATCCTTCTCTCTGTATGTTACAGCAAGCTGATGAATGTTGCTGCTTAATATTCCCCTGAATAATTGAATGATCCTTTGCTACAGTTAGGAAACTTTCTTATCTGCTTGCCTTCTCCATGCCTCCCCCGTTAACGTTCCACCCCCTTCCCCTCCCTCGCTTTCGCCCTCTCTCTCTCTCTCTCTTTCTCCCATCGGCCTGTTGATTTCAGCCATTTTTGGACGAAAACAAGACCAAATTGGTGTCTTAGTGAAGCACGCTGTGTTCATTGTTACATAAATCGGAGATGGCGGTGTCCTGTTTTCTATCTGAGCACATCTGCCTGAGAACATCTGGATGGCGTCAGCCTGTCAACACCGAGGGGAGCAACCATCACTTCTACCCCTCACTGACACATCTCACCTCCTCCCAGTCAGCAGAAAAAAGGAAGGAAAAAGAGACGACACAAATCTTCCACGTTAAAACTTACACAACAAATTGACTTTAACCATGCGTGATCTGAAACAAAATGCTTTATTTGATGTGGCCAGGAGAACAAGGAGGCGACGACATGTAAGAAGGGATTAGAAAGATGGTTAACATATATGGGAGGGGTTTGTCCTACAAAAAGATTCTGGAAAGAGCCAACATAATGAATAGTTACTCTAAAAGTTATTTATTTGGTCAATGGGAAACCATATCACTACAACCTGTAATAGTAAATATTTCGAATTTTCGCTTTTTAAGAGCATACGATTTTAATTAAAACATTTTAAGTGGTTGTGGTCGCAATTGCAAAACTACTGATTGACCTTACATTTATATTAGAATCTCTGTTGGGAAAGAAAGAAGAAAAAAAGTTGTATTATTGTGTTTGTATTAGTAAAGGCATTATTCTCTAAGTTTTGATGAAATCAAAGTTATAATACCCTCAAATAAAGTAGAAAGAGTTTTAGATGCTCAGATGTATATTCATATTATTTTGTGACATATTGATATATTTAATTAAAATAATTTATATGATGTTCCGATTCATAGTTTCAACAATTAGTAGTATTAGCTGATTCGTAGGTTGCCGGAATTGGTGGTGAGGACCTTTTCTAGACTGTTAAATGACCTAATGGACTCATGTTGATAGCCCTTTGAACCCTTGACTGATTCAAAACACATGTACACTGTATATAAATATACAGTATGTTAGTCTGGCTTGTATCCTTAATAAAGAAACAAGTTCTAAAGAACTGATGTGTAAAATAAAAATAAAAATTGAGTTGTGTGTATTCAACTTCTACTTTTGATCGATGAAACAGATGAAAATTCCCGTTGAGTTACGAGACAAGTCAACATAATTTGATGTTCTGTGATATAATCACTTGTTAAAATAAAAACACAGGAGCAGGTCTATCATCATCCATTTTTTGGAAAATATTTTGCCAATATTTATTATAAAAATATAAATGTTTCCACTACAAATCATTTTACATTAGTAGACAAGGCGATCTACATTTGCACACATAAACTCTCACACAGACACACGGGTCAGTCTTCAGACAGAGGATGAGGGATCTGGATATTGGGTGCATAACAGTATTGCTCTCAGATCGGTTTATAAAGTAAGTCAAAAACCAAAACACAGGTAGACTTGACACATAATTTACTGTATGCTACAAAAACATTTTGCTGTATAATGTTAACAAATAAATAATGTAACCATAATTGCCTTTTTATTGTAGAAAAAACAAAGCAGACAAATATAATCCAAAATAAGATAAAATATAAAACAGAAGATTATTGTCTCTTTTTTAATTAAAAATGTTGCACAATTTTTTATTTCTTCATTTATACATACAAACATTTGTACAAAGAGGGATGGCCATGTACATATTGTGGGGTCTGTAGCACTAGCTGCTATCATCACGATGGTTTACATTATGTACATGCTAATTGGAACACATAGCAGCAACAGCAGCATCCACAGGTTCACCAAGTAACAGAGGACCGACTGACGTACTCAACAGGGACGGGTTTCCCAAAAGCACCGAAATCTCATCCATTTCCTACATACGGTTCATGTACACCGAGACATTTCCAAGGGTGCTCCAATTGTGATCACTGGAATGGTCATATTCATCATTTGGCACTATTTATATGTAACAATTCGTAACAACATTGTATATCAAAGATTACAATCAAGTGATGGGAAACTTTCCTGGATGGGAAACTGTTCATTTATTTGCACGCAACGTGTGTAACATGTTCTATCGCCTCACAGAGAGGAGCTCTAATTATACCAGTTTTGCTTTTCGTCATTTTATTTAAAGAACCAAGCAAATCCGGCATAATGCTCGTGTTTGACACCATGGCGTTAAGAGTCCCATGTGTGCGTGTGGTTGCGTCGGTTGGTTCTGTGACTACCTCGCCCGGCTTAGCGGCGGAGCAACAAAACCCTCGTTCCGTGTCCGTACCCACGATACAATAATACAGAACAATAAGGCGAAGTGAATAGGCTGAGTAAAAGGGGCTTTAGAATCACAAATCACAACTCGGCTGGAGCCTTTTTAGCGGCACATGGGGAAATGATTCAAAGAGAACGGCTATCAAACAAATGAATAGGCCTATTGACAGATTGGAGCACCCTTAAACATTTCCTTCTAAGTGCTAAAATAGTTTCTATTAAGTACTTTGATAATACTCATAATCCAACCTCACAAAGTACCAAAGTGCCAGTTTGGGAACACTGGTTACACTGTGGGATTGACTGGGTCGCATTAATGCATGAGACACAAGGTTGGACTTTGTAATACCAGGATTGTCTAAACTGTACGGTGCCTTTAGGAAATCCCATCCTGGACATATGGTACGAGAAAAGGATCTCAGAAAGCAGTCACTGAAAGTGTTCCATTTCTTTCAGTGCATGTTCACACCTTGTTAGTTGAGGGCAGTGATGAGAGAAACCAATAAGAACACAAAAAAAGACTTTGTTGAAAACAAATCGAAACTGGAGCTTTTCGCTTGGAGATCCTGCATCGATTCAACCCGTCAAGCGGAGGCACTCTACTTTTTTAATCAAACACATCAGGATTTCATGAATTTATTTCATAACAGAACGAAAGAAGTTACTTTACAGCTAAAGTGAGATCCACCATGGCTTTTGTTACTCTGACTAAAGCAAGACTACAACACTTTCAGATCGGTCGGCTGTGTCGAGCCCAACCTCGTAAACTGATCTTACGCAGAGGAAAAAATTGCCACTCCAATCCCGAGAAAGAAAAAGATGTTGTGTGGGGTTGATGATGCTAACATGTCTTACCTGAAGAAAAAACCCAGTTACAAACTCACTTCTAGTTTCAAACACTTCCGCGACACAACAAGAATGTCTGAGGCAGAGGCCTGAATGGAACCACTTCATTACCTTTTCACCGTCTTTTCCTCCTCATTTCTCTCTTATGGTTCACCAATTTTCTGTCGACCTGCACCTTTCCCTCCTGTCTCTGCCCTACTTCCTCTGTCTGCTTCGCCTTGGTGGGGAGAATACTACGAATAACGTACACATCCTGAGATTCACACAAAGGGCGTCGGGTTGAAGGAACGGCATTATAACTGTACAATATCTGTCCATAAGCGCATAAATTAAACATTTGTGTGAAGTGTGTTAGGGCCCCTGTGCCTCCTAAGCACAGCGTTTGATACAAGTGACGGACTCGTAGCTTCCACACAATGAGACAAATTAACTGGTTATTATAATTATTGCTTGTATGTGACTTGTCTACGGAAAGCAAAATGCTATAGGTTAAGAGCTAGAGAGTAAAATGGCTCGGTTAACATCTGGGTGTGTCCATTCCAGCTCAGTTCTTTCATGGATCGAGAAAATAAATGTAGGTCGGTAGGTACGACAAAATCTCACACTTCAGCCCTCATTCGTCCTGGAAGGATTCAAATTCCGGACGAGCTGCTGCTGCCCGCCGTGCTGCACGAGGCATCTCAGCCCCGTTCCGCGAGCTGCGCAGTCCGAGTGGTGGGAGGAGACTGTGAGCATGCCCGTCCCCTTTTCAGCTGTAAAGGTGAAGACTACCTTGTCCAGCTCGGCCAATACTGTACAGCTCTGGCTTTATCCAGGTGCAGTCCCAGTTTGCATCCCCCGCCACGTCTCCCTGGCCAACCTTGGCTTTCGTTTCGGCTCTTTAAACCCTCCGAATTGTCTGTAAGGCATCTCAACTTGGTAATGGAGGGACGGCTGGCCGGAGAGAGCGGCTGGCAGGTCTGCACTGAAGCCTTTCCCATTATACTCCGTCAAGACTTGATGGCGTCTTTCAACAAAACAGCGGAAGCCCTCATTTGAATCGTGCCGTTATTAATCCTCCATTTCCATCCGTTTCCAGTTTACATATGAAGCCGCTCTGCCCCACGGACAGGTTTCTGGTGTTTTTACTCGTTACGTTCGTTTCTTATACAGGTACTGGGCCATTCTTGGTGTGGGAATCGAGGGCTTTGAGGCTGCTCACAATCTTTTTCTGCGGTCCAACGATAGTCACTCCAACCTTTTTTAGATCCCTGATTTGGGAAGGAGAGGGAGAGAGAAGGGGGGAGAGAAGAGGGAGGAGAGGTCAAAACATAGGCACAGGGGGGAGGGAGAGGTGGGGGGGGACGAGGGAAATATGGAAAGAAAACAGATAGAGAAGTGTGCATTAGTGATAGGGGAAGTGACACCCTTTGTGATATCTAATGACATGCTCCCAGCGCCGCTCGTCTCACTTTCCTTATGCATCTGTCATTCACAACGGACTACATATCCCAGAAGGCCACTGGGCTGACACATCCCTGAAGGGGGTTCTAGGGGGTGGTGGAGCTGTTGCATCCACTCTCGGTTACTAACAAACATGGAGTTGGACCTTTGAGGCTATGGTGACAGCTGCCATTATGACCCCGTCAGTGGAGGAAATGGCCTGGGAGGAAAAGAACGAGCTCCCTGCAACACTCAGATTTCTTTGACAGCGTAGGTATAAGTGAGGAGGAGCAACACTGGCACATGTGGAACATGGTACACTCTCATTCAGACAAGTCTGTTGACTAGCAGACGCTCAAAAAAGATTAGTTACATGCATTCAGGTGTAATCAAAGAACATTTGTGAAGGACAAAAAACATATATATTAGAGCGACTGTATGTTATCAACCTTTAAACAGAGAGCATCATACAAAGAGTATTGTTGATATTGCACTAAAGGAGGTCTTCCGACGCATGTTAGGGCTGATCTCTTTTGCACATCTAGGAGAAATGGTATTGTATTAGTAGAAGCAGAAGAGTTGCAGTCTTAGTGGTGGCATCACTACAACAAACGCTACAACATGATCACTTTTTAGTTTCTTTCACAAATGGGCACAATTCTTTTTTGTTTTATTCAGATGCAAGCAGAGCATTGAGTTCTTCAGAGCAGCCAAAAGAGCAGATGGTAAGAAACGTCTTGACCAGCCGGAAACTGAAAGGGTCAGAAATCACAATATTGTTTCACTCTGAGCAAAGGGATAGTTCAGTCAAATAAAGTAATTATTTAGATGTAAGCTATTAAAATGATTGAGTATTTCAATTAAGTTGACAATAAACAAAGGCAATTATTGTCTGCCTCATGTTGCAGTAACAAACAGCACCAGTGTGCAATAAATAAGAAAATAGCTTGGATTCCATCAGTGCACTAATAACGTCTTATCCAGTTCTATGGATTCTGTTGTGACATTTTGGAGCATTCCAAGTGACTCTAATTAGGAAACATGGCTACAACTGACTATCCCTTTACAATTCAGACAAGTGAAAGCCCATCAGTGCTTCTGGAGGTGGGCTACTGCTCCCAGGCGGGGCCACCGTGGTCTTTGTCCTCCACCCACCATCCAGAGCCGGAGGAGGCCGAGAGGAGCTGCCTGTTAGAGAGTGGTGATTCCCATGGACGGCTCCCATTCTGGGCAAGTGGCCGGTGTGACGTGGACCTCCGTCAGAACCACTCTACTGAGACACAGCCGGGCCCGGCAGCATTAACACAACGAACTGGATGTCATCAATATGGGCTTTCTAGTCTAGAGCACATTTTAGTTGTAAAACGTCCGGCTAACTCATGAATCTTTACCTATGCAACATAAATAGAAATCCAAAACCTTTATGTATAGTAATATGGACAGTTACTGGATATGGACAGTAGCAAAATGTTATTTATTGTTCACCAGTAGACAGTCACTTCAGAAAAAGAATGATTTAAAACTAGAAATGACAAACTAAATCAATACCTCTGCAAATATGTAATGTAAAATGTAGTTCACTTTAGCCTTATTTCGATTACATTGCTTCTGATAAACAACTATCAAATTACATGTTGAACCATGCCAGGGGACCTGAGGAGTTAAGGGGTTCTCTAAAAGTGCGATGACGTTTCAAGATAGGAAACATGACCTAAACCATTCTTCATCATTTCAAAAGTACATGAAGTCATGTGACAATAATTTATCTCTGTTGTGCTTGGATCTTGCTCTCTTGTAAGCCAAAGCGCTGTGGTTTCATTTTCTCTTTGTATTATTTTATATTTTCCTCATAAGAAGAGCAGCAGTAAGAGTAGTTAAACCTGTTTTTTCTATGAAAGTAAGATGGTTCATCTCAAGAACTGACACAGATGAACTACTGCAACACGAAACACAATTTACATTCATAAATCATACTTTCAGAACCGTAATTGCATAAACCGATTGCAAGTTACAAGTGCAGTTGTCAGGGTCTTGTCACTGCAGTTTACTTTCCTTTGTCTGGCAGTTAAGGCCAAGTTCCTCACTTCCTCAATCAAATACCTGAACTGAACTTTGCATGCCCTCTGATGAGGAAAATAGTCCAAATGATGCCGCTTCATTTCCTAGTCAATCCATTACATCCTGTCTTGAAAAAGAGATTCCATCTCTCCAGCAGATGAGTCAGCACACTGCAGGGAAGTATGATTACCGTTCCTCTGAGGTCGGAGATTTTGCCGAGCCTTGTGCTGAATATCAAGGACTAGATTAAGACTGTACAAATCAATAGTGGAATCTTTATTGAGCAATGCATAGTCTGCGCCAAGGCTTGTAGCTGCGCTAGCCTTGAGTGCCTTTGGCTTAGCCTTCACTGGATTAATACAGCGCTGATCCAATTGAGCATCTGGATACAGAAAAGCCTGGTAGACCAGTATGAGTTTTTAAGTGGGAAGGTACTGCGGTGTGGCTTCCCTGAGATCTCTATTGTCTAAACCAAATGTGGATTTCCGCCCATTTGCCGTGTAAACTGTTATTGTTTTGTAGTGTGTTGACTGAACACCATCTTTCATTGGTTAAATGTTTTCGTTGAATACACGGCGTGGAGCGACGCCGGGGGAAAACGTATATTTTGTAACCTTGAAAATAGAGACAAAGACACAGAAAAGTGAAATAACGATGTAAGCGGGATGTTTCCCATCATCTATTTAAGAGGGAACACGGCGCTTCTTTCAACCGCAGCACGGGTAAAGACTATCTGGTTTGGTAAGTTATTGACAGGAGTTGTTGATGGCAACTCCTCAACTGTTCACTCATCAACCAGCCCGTTAATATCGTGTTTGGGATTAATAATTGCTTTCAATCGGCCAGCATAGGGCTGATTTAGACTGTCAGTGAGGTCACACCTATAATCTCTGTCTCTGGGAATAAACTGGGACTAACTCTTCATCCACAAAAGTGTATGTGCTAAACGCTGTTCTGTGACAAACATCCGCTAAAATAATTTCGCTTCCCATCGAGGACATGTGTCGTACCACGGTATGACCACATATCCGACTTAGTCATATGATCAGTTTGACACTGATCAGATTACTGTGCGCTGCCCAAGAATCTCTGAGTCGTTTTTTAGTCTGACATCCTTTTTTTTCCGCGTTGGAATTCTTCACGGCATAGAGTGTGCTGTGCATACCTGCATGACAGCTGTTCCTTTGTTCAAAGGTGGCTCTCTCTACCCTTTTATCTTGTCAGATCTTCCATCTCATCCCTTGCCTTAATGGTTTACCTCTCATCCTCTCAGCCTTATGTAACTTACGACTCTTATCCTTTCTCCTTCTTTCTCTCCTTCACTTTCTCTGTTCGTCTCTCTCCCTTTTAATGTCCTCACCTTCTCCCGCTGTGGTCATACTTGCAACACTAAGAGCATGGCTAAAGGCCTGTCATTATAAATTACCATGACTCTCGCCCTTTAGTGAAAGATCTCTATAGCTTTCTTAATGACAACAAGAGAGTGTGTGTGTGTGTGTGTGTTTCTCCACCAATAGTCTCTTCAAATTCCTGGGCCTTGCTCACTTACTGGGGCCCTGAAAAGACTGCTGACATGAATAGGAAGAGTTGCTTAGTGTGTGTGGGTGTCTTACTCAGTGGAGGTCTTGGCCAGGGTGTCACAGGAGCTGTAGCTGACCCCGGAGAAGGCCTCCTTACAGGGCAGGGTCCTCATTCCATCTATCCAGTCACCCAGCGTCCCCATCGCGGGAACCTCGGAACTGCTCCTGTCCAACAACAAGTTGGCCGGCCTGAGGGGACACAGAAGGAAAAGAGCGGATGGACAATAAATAAACTAATTAAATTGGAATTTCAAATTCCTTGGGTAATGTGCTGTAACATAAGCAGATAAAGGGAACCCGTGAGTTTATTGTGCTTTGTCACAAAGCATCATTCCTTATGATGTGAATATTTACAGAGGTTGTCTTCAGCATAAAAGTTCTGATCTCGACGCTGTCCAGAAGCGCACGAGGAGGCAGCGGAGTCTGGAATGGGGAGTGATGACTAGAAATTTTACCCGCCTGGGAAATTAAAACATACAGATGGGACATGAGCAGCAGCGTAGCATCAGCTCGCATACGCACACGGAACCAAACGACTGAGCAGGACTTATCCGGGAGTCACTCGCAGCGCGGGACACCTACGCAGAGCCTTGGGGCCGTGAATAAAAATAAGGAAATCAAACTGTCACACAAATTATTTCCGTAATGTAATAAACATATTCAAGAACGAGATCGCTAGCAGAAGGCTTCAGCTCTCTGTCCGATGTCATTACCGTTTGCTGCAGCACATGTACTACGCGCCAAAATGCAACGTGGGATTTGATTAGAGTTGCTGGTTTCAATTGGATCAAATCAAATGAAATGCACCACGTTGGGCTTTACAGTCAACCGTGGAGGGTGAAGGAATAGCTGCAGGCGCTGCTCTGGATCGCTATGATTGATGGTGGCCGATTACGGAGGAAGAGAAGGGACGAGTGGAAGTGGAAAGACCCCCAGAGAGAAAGAGGAGAGAGCGGAGGAGAAGGTGTCCAATCTTTAACGGCTGGCTGTGTCTTACACAAATAAGGTACACTTTGTTATTTGGGAATCTGCTGATATCATGGCATGTGAAAGAGAGAAGCTCTACAATTTTTTTGAAACAATTCTCCAGTCCGTCATAATTAATATTATAATAATTATATTAATAATAATTCATTATCTAAAGGACATACCCATATATATATATATATATATATATATATATATATATATATATATATATATATATTTGAATCCAAAAACTGCGAGCCAAATGAAAGCTGCCAATATAGAGAGAAGGGAAGTGATATAACAACTAAAACAGAAGTGAATAAAAGAACGTGCATTTGAGGCAGTGGAGTGGGTGTTATTCAATGATTGAGTCTTTTCCTGTCAGATCAGAGGCCTGTCAAATTGCCGAGAGCCCCCCAGGACCCCCTGGAGATACTGATTTGTAGGAAAAGTAATGGGTGGGGGGGGGTCGACGGGGAAGAAGGAAGTGTGTAAATCTCTGTAGACAGTAGACATTTTATAATGAGAAAAACCAATGGAAAAATTGTTCTTTTTTATGTAGAGTAAAAAAAGAGCTATTGTGATGGTTACTTTTGCTGAAATAGAGTTTGGACAAAACGTAGTTTTAGAACTTTTGGACAGTCAGGGTGAGAATGTTTAGCTCTTTTTTTTGCAGGACTAGCCATCCTCTCCTGTCCTCTCCTGTGCAACTTTTTCTCTTTTTCTCCTCTGATCTCATTCTCGCCTTCATCCTCACCCCCCTCCCCCCATCACCCCCCTCCTGAACGCTCGGAGAGATAAACTCCAAATGACCTTGTTTCCCCACCCTTATCATTTCCTCTGTTTCCTTTGTAGTTATATTTTCAGCAACATCTCACGGCAGCTCAAGAGACAAGATGATTGGAGAGGAAACCCGAGGAACAGAAGGATGCCGCAAAGGGGGGGGGGGGGTAAAGAGAAAACCAAGCATCTGGAGGAGGATTTAAAACCCCTCCTGGACTCAACACCATGAAACAACGCAGCAAACACTTGTTTGTACTGAAGGAAGTATAAATACACCAGAGAGGAAATAAAGTCTGCCGCCATTCACGTTTTGGTTTCCCTCCCCCCCATTTTTCTGCTCTATCAACACCCAGCGTCTTGTTTTCAGTGCTCCCAAGGGAAGAAGGAGGTGGATGAGGAGAAGAGCTCGGAACCGATAGTGTACATCTGGGCAGGACAGAGTGGAAGTAATTCACCTCTCACTGCGTTACTAGGCCAAATGTCTCTGGGAGAAGTGGGACCAACAAAGATGTTTGAATTGAAAATATGAAACGTGTCCTCTGCCTCTGTTGGATGTGATGGATGTGATGAAAGTTTAATCAATACCACTCAGGTGGTCCGAGGGAAGCCATTGACCTGAGTTTATTCGAGTGTGAGGTTTAGATTGAAATCTTAATTTGAATCACTATCCTTCAGTTTTACCTTTACTTAATATTTACATTTGAACATACTAAACATCATTAGCTTTAAATGTATCTCAAATCGTGTAACTCCTATCCAGGTTTGTTGGAGAACTAATTGCAGGCAAGCGGATTGTAGAGCGTTTCATTTGCTATTACAAGTCCACAGATGCTCGCCATTATTCATTCTGCATTCAGTTCATAGTGTAAAAAAAGGCCCGACCATCTGCATATGTAGCAGTACATTACCTAATGCTTCTGTTGTTTGATTTAGAGTCAGCCGTTGTCATGTTTTGTTGAACACAAAGAAACAACATCTTTTTGTTTAAAGACACCCTCACGTGTGTTGTTATATCTTTTAGATCCCCTACTGAGCTCCTGTTAGCCCATAATTAGTCTGCGACAGCCAACCTTGGCCCTCTGACCCCAGTCCCTCTCCATCCGCATGCGGGGACAGTGAAGTCTGACCGGGTCCCACCCCTGAAGCCTCCAGATGCTCTCCTCCGGTCCCAGGCTCTGGTCGGGGCTTTGAGGAGGAGAGGGGGGGGTGCTCCATTAACCAGCCGGGACAGCCCAGAGACAAACGAGGTGTGTGGAGCTAACTGCAGCTGCTCCCGCTGCGCAACTGCACCACACACGCACACACACACACACACACACACACACACACACACACACACACACACACACACGCACACACACGCACAGTTCTCATAAATCACCACAGCCGCCTATGTCGGCCAGCCTGGGCTTGCCCGGTGTTAAAAGCCAATCAGGAAAATTACATGCAAACTCCAAGGGACCTATTTTCACTTTCTTAAGAAATCATTAGTCAATGTTATGAGCTTTGAGGTGTCCATAATACTGCAGCCGGCTGCCGCAGAGCCAGCACCTGTCCCCCTCACTGCTTTAGAATTGACGACAGTGCAGGGGGTGCCCTGTTTCCCCACTGGGAGAGAATGGAGGTTCCAACAAAAGGAGCAGAGCATGAGGAGGAGGGAAAAGAAGAATTTGAATTTAAACTGCATTTTAAAGGAACGGTTGATAAGGTGCGATAAGGCCAGTTCATGTACTACTCTGCAAAGGCTTTAGGCAGAAAGGAGTTCATATCCAGCTCATTTAATGGCTCGTTTCCACAACAAACAGGTTTGCACCAGAGGAGAAGGAAAAAAAACCTGCAACTTATTGTCTCTGAGTCCTGTGATCCCGAACAGACGGTTCGTTGAACTGTACTAAGCTCAAAAGCCGAGTGTTTGTGAGTCAGCTGCATGGAAAACAAAGTAGGAGGAAATCCTACCTGGATGTGGTGTTGGCCGTGATTTTGAGGCTACCAGGGTTGCGAATCAGTTTATCCAGGATGCTGACAATCTGTTCAAATTTAGGCCGGTTATTCCTCTCTTTCTGCCAGCAGTCCAACATCAGCTGGTAAAGTGTAGCTGGGCAGTCCATGGGTGGGGGGAGGCGGTATCCTTCATCTACAGCCTTTATTACCTGTATGAAGGAAGGATGGAGGAAGAATCCGAGAAAGGACAGATGAAATATTTTTAACTTTAAAACAATTAATATTACGTGGGACAACACTTTCATTTTACTCTGATGTGCCATAAACATCTTCACCAAAACCATTTGGTTCCTTCACTTCATTCCCAACAGTAACATCAGTCCGATTCTCCCAAAGAGGCGGCCGTGCTGCAGTGATGGCTCCAGTACTCACATCCTGATTGGACATCTCCCAGTACGGCCGTTCCCCATATGACATCACTTCCCAGAGCACGATGCCGTAACTCCAAGCATCACTGGCCGATGTAAACTTCCTGTAGGCGATGGCCTCTGGAGCTGTCCAGCGGATTGGGATCTTCCCTCCCTTAGGGACAGAGGGGAGCATTAATCACACAGACTTTCAGTCAGTCAGTGATACAAAGTCATCAACGCGTACTTGGGCCAATAAGGATGTTCCTCAAAACAACGTTTGTGTCTAAAATTGAAAAAACACAGATCGAACGCCACAAAATAACATCCGAGAATATAAAGATGGATTGTCAGAGTAGTGGGTGATAGCAAAGATGAGTGCAAGCCTTTATTGCAATATGTGTAAATCACTCATGTAAAGTCTAAAATGTTCTAAATGTGCTTTTGTGAAACCTTCAAAGTGTTCAAGTTCAATCTAACTTACTCTTTCCCGCATATAGTTAATCAAACGATTCATTTGACTAATATAAATGTAAATATTCCCTTTTAATCCAAAAGTACCAGCATCCACCTTAAACATTAATCAAACTGTGATCCAAAGTGTCCCGCATGTCCTCTCTCTTTAAGCGCCGGCCGAGTTTGTCATTCTAGCCGCAAAGCAGGACAAATGAAGAAAGTGGAGCTCAGGAAGAGAAGCCGACGGCAGCCAAAGTTAACAGAGACGTTGGCCAAGCCGCCCTGCTCCTGCCTGGTGGTGTGCCATCACACACACACGCACACGAAACACACACACTCCTATCCTGCAAGATCCGCAAGGAGACACTGTTGGAAGGTGTAAGACATTTAAAAAAAAACACACACGCACACAATCACACCCATGGTTGCAGCGCTGAACACGAGTACGCATGGAAGCGTTTAGTGCCGAACACACACACTAGTCTCACACTAATGCTTTAAACATCTACTTCTTTAAGAGGGCAAGATGTTAAAACACTCACACTGGAATTTCACACACAAACACACAAACAAATGACATCCATGTATTTTTCTTTAAAATTTGGGGCCAGAAAAGTAAAAAAATAATAAAATAAGCGCTGGATGGAAATCTGCTTGTGGAGACTTGTCAGTTACAGTAACATGGGAGAGTTTATTATTCTGTCTTATTATTTTAGATTATGTATTTCTGGGAGAAAGGCAAACGGCACACTGAATGTTTATTTGACAAGAAATTCTCAGCCAGCAAATTAGACAGTGTTTAAAAGGGCTGCACGCATGGCGCAGACCACAGGATCCCATGATGAAAATGACCACACACACGGCGCAAAAAAGTACGGATGAACGCCTGAGGTGCTTTGCGCCTACTGACACTGTTTCATTTTATCGAGATTTGATTCAGGCGAAAAAGAAAAAAAATATCTCCTCATCTGGTCTTTCAAGGTCTTTGGGGTTTTTGTACATGTATATGTAAATTGTTCCTTGCTTGATCATTATGTTCTGAGAAATATCCAGAGCTCAATTTAGTAAGGTTGCTTTTAAAAGTCCTTTCATGTTTCTGGTAAATGGATTAAATGGCTGCACCAGCTGCTTGTTGTTTTCCAGATTCAAGGGGCATCATTTGAAACGTTGAGAGAGTTGAGGCCAAGCTGCAAATTGAGGTTGAAAGTGGTTGCAGTAAATATAGAAAAAGAAATGGGGGCAGCAACATGTGAAAATAGGTCTGTTGATGTCTCAAATTGATACAAATACAACAAACATATTAAAGTGATCTATGTTGGCAATAAAAATGAATCCTTGTGTTCCCTTATTGGGCTGTGCACAGGAAACAAACGCTGTAGAGCCCCAAAAGGGTTTGACAATGCACCTACTGCAGACTGCAAGGGGATCATTTGGCACTCAAACAGCAGAAATGACTTTGTTATTGCACGCCAAATGACGTGCACATTGTCGTGCTATTTTCACGCTCCTGGGTGAGACCGGGCTTGTTTTAACACAACAGCTTTTATTTATATGTTTTTCTACCCCGCCATGGTTACAGGACGGAGGAGGGGAGTACACAGCGTGTGTGTGTGTGTGTGTGTGGGTGTGTGTGACAAAGACCGGGAGGAGAGGAAAGAGGTGTTAACGTGGAGCCAATCTCAAAACAATCTACATGAAGTATATCAAGACGAGAATAGCGATCATCACTGTTGCTCGCTGTTCTGCCCATTCTTGCTGTCGAACATATCTACCGTGATTTCATTTTGTGACTCACCCTGGTGGTGTAGGCGGCCTCCGGGTCGTCCTCCAGCACTCGGGACAGGCCGAAGTCGGACACTTTGCACACCAGGTTGCTGTTGACCAGGATGTTCCGAGCCGCCAGGTCTCGGTGCACGTAGCCCATGTCGGACAGGTACTTCATGCCCGAGGCGATGCCACGCAGCATGCCGACCAGCTGGATGCCGGTGAACTGGGCGTCGTGTTTCTGAAAGAAAGGAAGAAAGAAAAGAGCGTTTAATGTGTGTCATTTAGAACATGACGGGATTCTGACCTTTCTGACCATTTGCGTAAAATGAAATCTTTCTATCCGAAGCATTTTCATTAACCTTTAAAAACACCTTTGACATTCTGCACCTCATCTTGAGGATTAGTGTAGAAAACCAGGGACAAAATAACGTATGCAAATGAAGTTTAGACCAGTGCATTACAAACAAATCTTCCCATTTATCCATCAATTTGCCCATTGTCGTCCACATTTAGCATGTGAGTCGTCAACTTGTATTTCCTTCTAGGGCTTTTCACATGCCCTGGTTTGCTCCGAGACCACGTCAGTGTGAGATGACGGTGTTTTCCTTTCGAAAATCAACTGGGCCCACCCCACCTCCCATTTCGTCTGGAGCAATTAGTGGTCAGACCACCTGGTTTAGTCACTTGAAAGCTTTGCAGATTCAGAACACAGCTACAATGTCTAAGTTACGCATTTGTATGTGAGTATGTGTTTGCGTAGATGACACGATTTCAGTGATGGAGTGCAGGCCTTTGGGGAAAATGTCGGAAAAAAACAAGAGCCACTCCTTCACGTGTCCGGATAGAGGGCAGAAACATGTGGCCCGGGCTAAAAAAGCCATCCGTATACACGCTTTCATGCCAGTGTTGAGGTTTGGCTCTCGTGCTTTGGCTAATTTCAGTGAGGCAGGTCAATTCCTCCTCAAGAGGCATGGCAAGGATCAGATTCTCTCCCGGCTAGAGCAGCAGTGGGTACAGTTCATAAAACATTGTCATTTGATAAGCTCGGGATACATGGTTTGGCTGAAACAGAGTCAGAGCTGCATCTCAAATGCAACTTTTGTAGATGATGAAATGTAGTGAGTGAGTGACATATACTGTGTGTTGTGCAGGTGCAACACATTAGGTCGTTCCCTGGTGTTCCTTAATCCTCAGAAAGACATTGAATTTGTGTTCCCCAAAACTTCCTCCGGGTCTCCACCGCTGAGATGCATCATGAGCCATCGTAGGTGTGTGTGTGTGTGTGTGTGTGTGTGTGTGTGTGTGTGTGTGTTTGGAGAGTGGCTTGTCAATGTTAATACTTACTCTCAAGAAACTGTCCAGGGATCCATTCTCCATGTATTCTGTGACGATCATGACGGGTTTACCTGTAACAGAGGAGGGAGGGAGATCACATCAGTTGTGTCGATCTTAAAGAACAACAGAAATACTTTTGAAACAAAAGACACTCTGAGCGAAACATCGTCACATTAACTTTAATTGAATTTTTTCTCTGAACGGTCGTGAGTCCACAAGGAGGGCTGCAACTTGACTTAAAGCAGTATTTAGGCCTTGATGTGGAACAGGGTTGAGCTCTTTTTACACAAGCACACACACACACACACACACACACACCGGACAGAGTAAAATCATCCTTGTTTTAGGGTCCCGGCAGGTCAGCTGTCAAGGTGTGACATCTTTATTTCTTTGGGAGATCTGGCTGTAAATCCGCTGCCGCCTGCTCTCATCTGTACCTGATCAGACTACGGCCATCGCAAGGTTTATTACAGGGGGGGGGGGGGGGGGGGAACAGCCGTTGTTAAATGAACAGGCTCAGTGTCGGGACTTGTGTCTCCCCACATACCCCATTCCCGACATAAATGATGAAAGCATCATTTAGTTACTACGCAACAAACAGCTGGAATAAACTTCCTGAAGATTTAAGACTTTAAGACCACGTTTAAAACAAGACTGAAAAATGTTATGTTCAGCTTCGCCTTCTGCTAAATTTTACCTACATTGCACTTTTAACCTCTGCCTTTAATTAAATAATTTAAATACGCTGTTTTTAATTGTATTTCAATTCCTGCATTTTATTTCACTTTATTGTATGAAATGTTATGATGTGAAGCACTGTTATGATGAAAAGCGCTATACAAATAAAATTGCCTTGCCTTGCCTTGCCTTAACGTTTCCCTATCAACCCTGCCTTTCACCGTCACCCGAGCCTTTCCTCTTCCTTCTTTCCCTCTTGCTTATATCCATGCGGAACCTGCCAACATCTGGCAGGACACAAAACCTTTTTTTTGGTTTAAGGGAATGACACAGGAATGAGCGGAGAGCGGGATGGAATCGGTTAGAAAAAGCTACACATCCAATACTCTATATATTGGAAAAAAAGAAAATCCAATTAGTAATGAAAAAAGTTGGCTCTTGATCTCTTTGTTTAAATCAAAGCAGATTTGTTCTGACTAAAAATTCAATTCCCCGATTAGTCAATGAGACTCTGATAAAAAACAGACCTTCTTTGCAACTAGAAATTGCTTAAAGTAGATGAGCCAAGAAGTAGAGTGTGTTGACTTAAATCAAGGTTGTACAGTTGAAAAACTGCGTATCCAAATTTTGGCTCTTTTGTTACTCTCCCAACAGCACACTGTTCTCTCACTATTAAAGTAAAACATTCTCCCATCACCGAAACACAGTCACAGTTCACCAGCCTCCACCGTGAAGGCTGTGATGGATCGCCCCGGTTACCAGTGGACGGCTTTTATAGTCTCGGACGGGAACACACACACCGGATCCTCCCTCCTGTCTTCCGCCCTCTTCCCTTCCCTCCTTCCCTCTGTTCTCAACATTGGAAGCAAAGACAAAGGACCCCCGAGCCCCTTCATGCTGTGAACGCAAGCGTGAGCGCTGCGATGAATGTGTGTGTGTGTGTGTGTGTCTGTGTGTGCGCGTGTGCCGGGCTTTGGATGAGCCAAAAGCAGCAGCAAGGTAAATGGGCTGTGAAAGTCTCAGGATTATTAAGAATTAACAAGAGAATCCTAATAAATCACCCTACAGCAGCGTGTGTGTGTGTGTGTGTGTGTGTGTGTGTGTGTGTGTAGGTGTGTGTGTCTGTTTGTGGGAGCATGTCAAATGGACCACCTAAAACTATGCCATGAACTCATGGTGTTAAAACACACACACACACGTGTTCAGGGTATCGCTTCCAATGTCATGTATTCTCAAACACACACACACGCATTGTAATGAATATCGGACTTTCCTATTAGTCTAAAATCATCAAATTAACCTTGAGTCTTGGGTTATTGCAGCATTTGTCACCATCCGGGCATTAACAGAGTGGTGTACTGTACGGTGAATTAGCCATTAACAGACTAATGAGGAAGGATTCTGCACAAACTCTTTTATTTTCAGGATCTGTAGCTATTCAAGGCTGAATATCAACGCTTTCCTTTAAGAAAGGATTGGCTGAAGAGAATAAAAATTCAATTCATTCAAATTCATGAATTCCATATACTGGGTCCAAAACCTAACTCCTCGTATTATTGTTTCTACTGGAGACATTCCCTATTCCCAGGAAAATGTCGCAACTTAAATGAATGCAATAGCATGATTATCCTTATACTTACTATAATTATATGAAAAGGAAATGAAAAGAAAGAGAACAAAAGATGGCTAATTAAGTAATCAACACAATGTGCTTTGAGTGTCCTGCCTGTTGCGGTTTGTAAATTACGTTGTAATTCCTTCGCCGTGCTGTTTTTCATCAAAGAATTCATGCTAGTAAGTCACTGAAGTCAAATGACGGAAATCTCAGCGGGCAATTAAGGCGTTGGGATAACACAGAACGGGAGAGTAAGGAGAAGAGAAGAAGAAGAAGAAGAAGAAGAAGAAGAAGAAGAAGGTAAGGAATGTTCTGCATGTATTTTGTTCTACTCTTTAGAATAACTGCACCGGCAGAACTACTTAACAAGCCCGGTGCCGCGGGGAGGGATTGAGGGCGGGCCCGTTTCTCGGCGACAAAGTTCAGAGTCATTATTTCCTTTTTCTGCAGTCATTCCTTTTTAAAGAGGCCTTCTGTGTGCTAATGATAGTCTTATAAAGAGGCCCAGAGGGGAGCGACTCAGAGATAGGAAATTCATGGCCGCTTTGGACACGGCTTTGATCAAAGCACATCGATCCGCTGAGATTTACACGACGGCAAACCCGATAAAACTCCTCTTCACTATTCATAAAAGCGGCAGGACACTTTAGAGCTGTTTGTCAAAAACAATTGCAAATCCCGAAATTGGTAAAAAAAAAAAGAGCCCGGGGACGCTGCATCTGTAATGTGAATGCAAATTACATCTGTGTGTAACTCTCTTACTCTCTCCTAGTTTATTTTACTGTAAAGGGTTCTATTCTAATACATTTTGAACTCCGGCTCAAAACGAATTTGTTATGCACCATTGCTGATTTTCTCCCACAATTTGTATCTAATTTAATTTAAAGGAGCAATAGCCAACTCCCTTCAAGATGGATTTTGGGTCATGGTTCGTGAATGCACTTACTGCGTGTTACCACCCCCTCCAGCCTGATGATGTTGGGGTGGTCAAACTGCCCCATGATTGACGCCTCGGCCAGGAAGTCCCGCCTCTGCTTATCCGTGAATCCTCCTTTAAGCGTCTTGATGGCCACACAGATCTCCTTCTTGCTTGGTAGCTTCAGACGACCGCTGCACACCTCGCCAAACTCACCTAGAGAGGAAATCAGGGAAGATGGGGGTGTGTGGTGTGAATGTCCAGCATGCATTCAGGCTTTGGGTCATGCTAACTTTACACTTTGCAGCATCTATTGAGCCAAAAAAAGGAGCTATGCTCAACTGTTTTATCCATTTGTAAAGGTCGCTCAAGCAGTGGCATTGCTAACAAGCTGAGCATGAGGCAGAAGTACAGTTCTGAATTATTGTTTAAGGTGTAACAATGTACCATTTTAACAGATGCAATCAGAGAGAGGATGTTAATGATCACCTTGTCATTACATAACTCCAATTTTTCGGTATTTGTTGATTTTGGAGAGAGATCCTCGCATACTTACATGTTACAACCGCTAATTATAGTAATGACACCATGTGTAGCAATGCACTTTGAAACCGATCCACACGAATCCACAGTCCAACTAACAACGCAAAGTGATCTTTCAACTTTCATAAAGAGCCGTATTAAAACGCAGCATGACTCAACATCTACCATGGGAGGGATCAATTAGCATTCCTGTCTGCTGAGAGGATGTGTGTGTGTGTTCACCTCGTCCCGTGCATGTGCGTGCGTGTGCGCGCTCGGTGAGCTTCACCAGGTACTGTAAGCTGTAAGCTGACGGCTGGCCACTTCAAAGCCAGTCGAGGGATTTGGCCGGGCTCTACGGACGGGTGGAATGCGAATACGAGTGCGCGTGCACTAGTATGAGTGCGCTGATGAGAGGTGATGTCAGAGCTGAGACATGTGCCGATCCCTCTTTGTCCAGTAAAATCACCGACCGCAGCAGCTCAGGATCAGGGAGCGTCGATTAAAGTCTCGGACTTAAAGCAGTCGGGTCTGGGACAACTTAAGCCAGTCTAATTACAACATGTCTTAATACCAAACGCATGTCCCGTCCTTCTGGCACTCAGACAGACAAGCCAGGTCATTGCACCTTTCTTTTTTTATTTTTATTTGTAATGTGGCCACTCAGAGAACGAAGTTCTAATGAGGTCCACGGACCTGGATAAGGTCTAATAAGGGTTGATTAGGGACACTCGCTCCCTTTCCTGAGCTTTGATGTTAAAACCGTTCCGACCCATTGGGAAGCAGAGCGGGAGCGTGTCTTCTGTCTTTTCGACACACAATCACTGAATTGGCAAGGAGATCAAAGCCTTGTTTAAGGAAGACATTGAGGGGGGGGGGGGTTACAAAAAAAAAAGCTTTACAAAGCTGCAGTGCCGCTCCCTTATACATAAGTGTACAACTAAGATGCCTTTTTCATGGTGACTTTCATGGTCAGACTTCTGTGTATTTAATGCTGACAATCATTATGTCTTAATGTAAACATGAACCAAGGTGTGATTCACGAGCCGAGTGCAGCACTGGACAATCCAAACAGAATATAGTGAATCCAATCATCTAGCAACTGCACTTTGTAGTTGTTTGTGTTGTGAATGTGAATTATTCTTGACATTGCATGTTACCAAAGCTAAAAATAGACACTGAAAATGTAGACATTTGATGTTCCACTTGCATGGAAGTATGGAGACAATACTGTGTGCACTTTGTATTTGCATTACGAATGTATAGTTTACTGTTAGTGTGGCTTCTATAAGCTCAAGTGATATTGGTAAGAACAGTACATTCATATTACTTACATATATTATGAATTACCGCTTTGTGTTTTCGATTAATTATATTTTCTCTGTCCTAATTACTGCACACTTGCGTTGAACAAATATCACTTTCCATTTAAAGCGCGGCCTGTAGAAATGCTTTGTGTCCGCTGCATAGCGTGCAAAGTGTAGCGCGGCCCAGTGTGGATTCAGGCATTAAACTCTGCGTCGGTCCTGACAGCTTTACGGCGTGAAGGGTTGCTGGGGCTCCTGAGACGGCCCGCTGTTATGTGCTGTGTGCTTTTTGTCTCCATCCATTCTGCCTGCACTCAACACGAATCACAGTGCATTACCCTCCCGTCGGCACTCCTCGCTCAAGTTGTCAGGCACGACGCCACGAGAGGAGAGGAGGCGCGCTTTACTCTCGCAATCGTTCGATTTGGTTTGGAATTAGAGTTTTGGTAAATAGAAAGAAAAAAAAAGGGAATGAAGAGAAAAATGCAAAGGAAGTAACGAGGAGAGGTGGGAAGGAACAAGCTGAAGGTGAGCAAGAACAACTTGTAATGTCCCTCTATCATTAAGGAGAGTGGGAGAGAAGGGAGCTCAAGCTGGGGCATTAAATGCTTTCTCCTTCCCAGCTGTGCACTAGACGGCACACAGTCAAACTAGCCTGCTGCTAAAAAAATGTGGATATATGGGAGCTCTACGTGTACCTCATTTTTCTGTACACGCAGTTGAACACTTGATGTTTCTCTGTCATTTAAATAGAGCATGAAGAAGTTAAAAAAGTGACGTTAGGGTGAGGTGGAAGTTTCTCTTTTACATTTTTATTGAGTTGGAGTGACTGTTTTCATACATTTCCTTTAATGACCTGGGCGAACTGTTAATCTTTGAGTTTGATTTTACCTCAATATCATTTATATTCCCCCCCTTCATGTAGGGAGGTTTATTGCTTATAGATCTGATAATTCAAACTAAATTAGGAATATAATTAATTTGACTAAATACTAGTGATTAGTCCCCAATAGTCTACAGAGTTACTGATACACTATTTTCAAACAGACTGGCATGAAGTGACAGGTGTATTTAAAAAAAGGGAGATTCAATAATAGAAATTCTCACCTGCTCCAACCACTTTGTCGATGGCGATGCAGGAGGCGTCCAGCTCCTTCGCAAACTCGTGCACGGCCTGGCTCGGGTCCTCGTACGTGTGAGGGTCCACGTAGGTCCTGATACCCGGCAGACGCACTGCAGCAGGAGAGAGCAGGTCGCATCGATTACGGGTCGAAACTCAAGTGTGTCCCCACAGCCATCCGTCCTCTGGACAGTTGATGACTTAGTGAGGACATATCACCAAAAACAGCAAAAAAAAGTACTTTATTAGTCCATGTGGGGGGGGGGGGCGAGGGAAATGTTCCCCATCTGACTCATCCAAACTATTCATGGAGCAATGGATGCCCTCAGCTAAGTGCCTGGGGGCTAAATGCTAGAGATCATAATAACACATTGTGTATGTTCAGGAGAACTAGTAATGAAGAAGAGGGGGAGTTTAATTGAAAAAGTGTTGCCGCTTTACGTTGGTCCATGTTAGACTTTCTTAATGAAGCTACTTTAAACATTGGTCCAAGTTTTTCATTGGTCAAAAATGTATCAATAAAAGAACGTTTTTTCGTCTTTTCCAAATGAAGGCTCCCGGATTGGTTTGCAAATGGACCGAGAAAGCGCCGTCTCAACATGGTCTCGGTCCAATTGCTGTCTTCTCATGTGACCGAATCAACCAAAGTGAAGGGGAAACCACTTCAAACTTGAAAACAGCTGCTGTAAAACAACTTACTAGATACTTGTAGTACTCTGTGAATGATATACACTGCAGAGAGGAGATATTCAAATGCTTCTGACAAAAAAAAAGGTGCACTACTCACAGTGGCCGTTGCCAAAGTGCAGCCTTTTCTCATCAGGATGTTTGGATTTGCTGTGGCAACAGAACCTGCCAATCCAAACAGAGAAGGGTCATAAGTAGTGCCACATCTCGCAATAAGACATTAACCACTGGCCCAGCCAGAAGGCTAGCGAGAGCTGTGTGTCCATGTGTGTGTGTGTGTGTGTAATCCCAGCTCTTATAAACCAAGAGAGGATCAGTAAGTCTTATAATGAGTCATGGATTTATACTCTCTGAACAGTACTGACTGCCAATTCCAGCCACACACAGGAAACACACACACACATACAATTCTTACTTTCCTCTTACACATACACACCTACACAAGAAACAAAAAATGGATTCCTCTCTCATTTGGAATAAAAGAATATACTCTGCAGCAATTTAGAGAATGCTGTACGCAATCAACAGCATAACGATGTCCGTGAGACGGACCTGCCAATCAGGACGTAGAGCAGCACGGTGAGGAGGATGATGGCCACGGCGGAGGAAATGGCGATCAGAACAACCTGGCTGCTCTCACTGGAGATGGAGAACGCTGCTGAGTGACAGAAAGCCAAAGGTCATGAGCAGGGATTGAACTTGGCTCGAGAACAAACATCTTGGTAACTACTTTACCAAAGATTTTTTGAAACCCAGGACAAAAGTCAGACGCTCTCACTATTCATGATCAACGGCCACAAATGTTCCACAACGGCAGTAAGAGACTTGCGATAAAAAGCCTATCCCGAGGAGGACTTACAGTCGGGGCTGGTCTCGAACTGGAAACTCGGGCTGCTGGCTCCGTACCCGGCAGCTGTGCGCGCTCTGATCTGCAGCAGGTAGGCGGTGTTGGGCTTCAGGCCATTCAGGGTCACATTACAGCCCCGAGCACGGAGGATTGTGTAGCTGGTCTCCTGCTCCTCCTGTGAGACCAGGTGGACAAAGGAACGAGAGGGACAGAGAAGGGGATTCAATATATGTGAGGCAGTTTTCTTCAATGCTCAAATGTACACTAAGTTGGACCTTTTGATGCATGCTAGATACAGTATGAATACAATACGGTAACATTAGGTATCTGTTACTATGTGTTGGTGTAAATTTGTACAAAACCCACACAAACATCCAAGAGAGTTTGGAAGCTTTCTTTTAAATCTGATGAATTATGTTGTTCTTATTTCATGACTCCTCTCCTACTGATCTCCAAACAACAGGAGGATTTACACAATATACGCACCAGGTCTGCATTCGACAGATTGTATCCAGATGTGGAAGGGAGAAATATGGTGGAGAGTAGGTGAGGGGACAGACGAAAAGAGGAAGATAGCAGAGAGTGGTGATAATTCCACGTAGAGGATAATAGGCCCAGTCCATTAAAGTGATTTATTGTTATATGTATGTATTTTCTGTGCAGTATTAGGCTCAATGTTGGCCATGTGCTACTAAAAGGCAGCAAGCAAAGGCAAATGTCCAAGATGGCCTCTTACTATCAGGACAGGACATCCTCATCATTCAGCACCAGCTTAATTATTTTGTCCATAATAAAAAAAAAACGTTTCACAGTAAACGTTGCGTGTCTCCGTCTGTGCCAGTGAAGCTTGTAAAATAAAATGCTGAGACAATCCATGCGGAAGAAAAGGCTTGCGATTACAAGATTACCAAACCAATTAGATGCTATGAAACAAACTGCTAAATGGGGGGAAAGCAGGACCAGGCTCGTCTTAAATCTCAAAGACAACCTATTAGAGATGACCTCGACAATCCTAAAAATGAGTTACATGTTTTGCGACGTAGCCAAGCTCATAAAAATCATCCGGGGCCGAATCGTGTTCAGGCATTCAGTCAAATCTTTATTTCAGAGACCCAGTTATGAAGAGGCATTCATTGCTCTGGGAAATAGCATAAACACAAGTCGACATCCACACACGCACACACTGTCCAAAATGACGGTCCATTAATGGAGTGGATCAGAGTTTTATTGGGCACAAACCGCTTTTTAAAACTGCTCTATATGTAAGGAGGTAACTGATACACGCAGACCGGCACGGGGGCGACGCCTCATCACAACTCTAAATCTACTCGTCACCGTCACGCCTTCTGGACAGCATGTGATCCCCCAAAATCCCACACAGGTGAGGTTCAAGCACCTTCGTGTGTGTGTGTGTGTGCGTGTGAGAGAGGGAGAGACATACAAAGAGAAGAACGTCAAGAAAAAGACCTCTTTTTTATTTGTACTGCAGCCCAACAAGTTGTGTGATTGAACATTGAATCCTGTGAGTGTGTGTGTGTGTTTTTATGCGTCACCGGAACACTGCTAAAACTCAATATGGCCTCTGTGCTGCGTTTTACTTCGTCAATCTAAACAAAGCTGTGGCAAATTATAGCTTGTTAAACACACACACACACACACACACACACACACACACACACACACACACACATATGCAAACTCATACAGACCCCAGAACAGGAGATGTGCAGCAGAAGTCTTTTAAATACAGTGTTTGATTGAGCATTCCTTCCCTCTCAGTCTACATAAACAGGCCAAATTGAAGTGGATCTGAAGCGCTGCGCTTTGCAGATTGCAGTGATAAAACACGCAAAAACAATCAATCAAAGCTGTATTCCCACAAATTCTATTTTCACAAAGTGCACTTGGAAATGCCTTATCGGCTGGTTAAGTCGCACAGCCAGCCTGGGTTTTCCAAAGAGGAAACACCTCTCTTCTTTAGAAAAGTTTTCGGGTCGGAAACTCCCAAGACCGTCACCAAACGTTCCTCAGAAATTCTGAAGTTTCACACGGTCGTGTTTCCCGCCTGTGACAGAAAGTGGTGTGCGTTGGCGAAAAAGAGCAGCGTGGGCCAGGACAGAGGTTATGTGGGGTTCCTTTAAAATAAACCACTTCAGCTTCTGTGGAACTCTTTACACTAAAGATGAGAGGAGTAATTACTACTCCTACTGCAATAAAAGAATGAGAAATACATTACTTTGAATAATTTTATAAAACTATATTACTAAATCCTCCTTGAGTAATCAGAAGGTACTCACACTATAGAGTTCCCACCAGGGAAGCTTATACAAATGCAATAAGCTGACTTTTAAAAGCATTTTTTTTTGTCGGCCATTAGAGATTTATTGATCCAAGTAATCCGTCTAATATAAAGATGCATTCTAAGTTTGTAATTATGCCGGGGGGGGTTTCAGGGAAATGTTCCCTTTTTACATTGAGAGAAGTTGAGTGACATCAGTAAATGGCTTTTGGATCACACGATAACGTACACTGTGTACATCTGTTTTAAACCTACGGCAATAAAGACGGATGATACCACAGATGCTGATGCCGCAGATCTGAACATCTTCTTCTCGCTAAAAGCTCTCTTTTATTCTCAACTCAAGCTGTTTTTAAACTCCTCTTTCACCATCCTGTTTATGTGAGCGTGCAATTATATCTGCGTGTGTCCTGTACGTGTCCCTTAAAAGCCTCTTCCTGCCTCCTGAATGAGTGATGGTGAGGTCTTGGTGTGGTTTATTTGGGCTCCGACTCTTATCCCCCTTTCGGCCTTGATCCCCGGCGCGCTAGAGGCCCTCGGCGTCCCTCTGCCTGCCACACGTAAAGGTCCCCGTTCTGGGCTGGTATGGGGGTGGGGGGGGGGTCTCCCATGACGGCCCCAGTTTGCTCTTCTGCATGGGAAGAGCCTTTTGTCTGGGGTTGGACCCCCCCCCCCCCCTCCCGGGCACGTATGGCTGCTGCAGAGAATCCTCCGTGGGAACTTGTGTGTTTGTGTCCCGTCCCCGAGTGTCTCGGGTAAATCCGTGATTGCGAGAGATTTGTCTTTCCAAAACTCGCACAGGCTCTTCAGTTCCTCCAGTAAACATCTCACCATACCTTCCTGTCATGAATATGCATTTGTAATGTGTGCGCGTGCATGTGTGCGATTGAAAAGCTACGGTTACCCAGCGTCAGTCGTTGACTTTTCCTCTCTAGGTTTTTAGTTTGAACTTCTTATGTTCGGATGGCTGAGCAGGGAACGGAGTTTAGAGAGGAAACAGCTTCTGTCTGCCTACTAATCAAGAGATTAGGGGCCACTGTTGGCATTCAAGCAGGCCCGGGATCCGGGGGAACACACATGCACACATGCACATGCGCACCGAATCTGCCAGAGTGATTGAACCTGCATCCACGGCTAATTTCACCATCAAATGTCAGCCACAGCACGGCGTTGGTGCTGAAAGCCAGTGGAATTCGTTCTGCACTAATTTAGCCTCACAGAGTGAGAATGAGTGACCCAAGAGACACATTTACTCTCGGCCATAAAACGTGTCTCCATTAAGGGGACGGGGGGACGGGATGAGGAATAGAGGGAGAGATGAAAAAGAGGGGGGGGGGGAGACTGATGAGTGTGGAAAGAATAAAAGCAGAAAGACAAATGAGTCGTTTTTTATGTTTGCATGTTTGCTGGAACAGAAACTTCGGTCTACAGAAGCGGTCCTCTCAATCACTACAAATAAAATCGTAAATCTAAGCGGAATTCTGATACTGATCCTTGTTAAGTGGAGCCGTTTGATGCATATGGTTACTCCTCGAGGCTGATACCACCCCAGCCAACCCCATACTTTGCTAAGAGTCTTTGTCTGGATTGATTCGATGGCATGGGACAGATGGCGTGCCTGAAAGAAGACCGTTGAGCATGTTCTCTGGGCACAGAAATGCACGATCGTGCAAAAACTTTGCTCATTAAGCAAAAAAACACAGTGATAAAAGGCCATCTTTGATGTCAGTACCCGTGGGTTACACAGCTACAAAGCTCACATCACATTCCATCACATGTCGCCTTTAGCCTGGTATTCACAAAACAGACATCACAGACATCACAGTGGTATGAATGCGTTGAAATCAATATGTCCTGCACCGACCTTTTCGTAGTATTTGATCTCATAGTCGAGGATAATGCCGTTGGGTCTTTCTGGCTGCTGCCAGGACAGGGAGACACTGCTCCGAGACGTCTTTTCCTTTCGGATCACTGCTACTGGGGAGGGAGCTGTGTGGGAGACGGAGACAGACATGAGAGTGTAAAGCGGAGGAGAGAGCGACTTCCTTGAGGTTCAGTGGAAGTTCAGTCCCCCGGTGTTACATCCTGGCAATTGTCTATGGTTCCTGTTAGCCTGATTCAGCTTTAAAGGCTTTGGCCCGGGGTTGGTGGGTGGAAAGAGGCAATGTACACTAATTCAAACACGTACAAAGACTAGACATTTAATACAGCAAGGTGTATTTCCAGTGTGTTAAAGTGAAGTAAAAAGGTGCTTAGTTATTATGAATAGAGCTTAACTCATTATTTCATAGAACAAATGTACATTACTTGTACAGTTTAAACACCTTCAAGTATTGTTATTTTTTTCTGAGCTTAACAAATACCCTTTTTTGTACAGTTGTGCACACATGTGTTATGAAGGTCAAAAGCTTATGATTGTGGGACAAGCAGGGATCAAAATGAAGAAAAATCAAACTGCTTGGTTGGTGTCAGGTAAGTGTATCAAACTCAGTTCCTGCTTTTTGCTTATGAGTAAAATGGCTCGTCTTTTAGCATCTGTTGTAGCAACTTCCTGGCCTGCATATTCTTTGAAAGGTGTTATGATTTGAATGTCCTGTGCGTATGAGCCATCGCCCCCCCCCCCCATTTGTCCCACTGCTGCGCCGGTCTTCTCTTTCGGTGCAGCGCTTTCTCCCTCACCAATCCTTCACCCATGCGCTGCTTTGCCTCAGGGACTTCACATGGTCCCCAGTAACTTAGCACATCCCTCCCTCTATCAAGCCGTGCACCCCTCCCTCGTTCTTTTTTTGCTCTCTTGCTCTTCACTCCCTTCCTCAATTCCCTTTTTTTTTTTTTAACAGCTCTCCAATTGCCAGGCGGCTCCGGGGCGTCGACTTTTAATTTTATTAGACCACGGGAAAAAAACATGTTTGTCTTTGAAATGTTTGAGCTTTTCTTGATTGTGTTTTTATAGCAGTGTGCGTATGTGCGTATGTGTGTGTGTGCGTGCGCGTCCGCGCGTAACAGCGTGCATTTCGGCGGGAAGTTATTTTTCCTCCTGTAATGAACCCAGATGGGGAGAATCTGTTTCTGTGCCCCCTGCTCCTTATTCTCTCCTCCCCTCCCTCTGGTTCTGATAGCGGGGTGACGCTGGGCTTTTTATGGGCTCCGTGGTTTATGGCGGTAATGATTTACTGTGTCTGGGCCGCTCGGAGGCAGCTTCGAGTTCCTCTCCTCCTTCTTTTCCTGCTCCTTGCTGTCCTGTCTCACTCCCTCTTTCTATCTGTACGTCTATCGCATTACCAGCATTCATTTGATGTCACTTTCTGTTTCTGTCTGTGGTGTAACAAAGGCCATAAAGGCCTTTAAACGTCATCCTCCAGTGACGTGACATGCCACAGCTGTCCGAACATCTATTTATTCTGCAGGACGCTGGTTGACTGTTCAACGTAGCGTATTAGCAGAAACACTTGAGAATTCAATACATTTAAATGTTAAAAAAAATGACTTTAACGCATTGCTGACTTCTGGTCTTTGCGGTGATACTGATGGGTTTTCAGTGCAGTGAGTCCCCGGGACCCAGAGGTCATTTCACGGGGTCCCCAGTCACGTTTTTATATGGTGACAAATTAGAGTCTTGGTTTTCCATGCTTCTTCTCAGTCATTTCGCCTACGAGTCTTTGGAACATTTAACCAAATCACAACTTTTTAAGAACGGATACATGTTTTCAAATGATCAGTTGGTAACAAGCACTGTATAATATAGTAATACATGTTTTTCTCCTTTCCAAATAGTTTCCAATAGTTTTTCCATTTCCATTTCCATTAAAAGTATGAACAAGACATCAACTCCTGCTGCAGAGACCAATGTCCCAATGACAAGACTGGATTGAAGTCAAAGCTGTGGGGACGAGGACTGGTCTTGCAGCAGCAGGGACATTTCGGGGTTTTTTGGATGGTGGAGACTACAAACACGGGATCTTGTGTGTGCAACATAAAGGCGGAGACGATAGTACAATCAACAACCAGGTGTAGAAGCGATCTGTCCAAGTCAGCCGCGGTTCTGTTGATATCAGACTACACTCCAATGTGGGTCGCAGCTACTCTGTTGTTTGTCACTCATTATGACAATGAGTGCAGTGCAAGAGGGAGAGGGGGGGGGGGGGGGGGCTATCTGACAGCACCTTGACAGCACAGCAAGGACACACTTCTCCTTCCCAGGAAACACTTAATCCAGCTTTTACCAGCTTTGGTATCTGTACATGTGTGTGTGTGTGTGTGTGTGTGTTTATGTGAGAGAAAGTGAACTGTAGACGAGTGGGGCTGGAGCACTGACATATCTAATCCTTGTAAACTCTCAAGGCTGATGGAAGGTGTGCAGCTGCAGGCGAAGAGGGAGAGGACTGTGCGGGTGTGTGGTGCAATGACAGTGTGTGTGTGTGTGCGTGCGTGTGCTAGATGTGTAATATGGAAAGAGCAAGATTGATCTCCTCTGATGATCGCTCGAACATGAAAGGTGTTTTTTAACATTCAGATCACACGCAGCCCTGTAGTCAAATCCAATATAAATGCTGATCCCCCTGACTAACCACACAGATAATGGTTACTAATAAACAACTCCAAAGGTTGTTCTTTTTCCTCACTTCAAATGTGGGGCTTTTAATCTGTATTGTCCTTTCCCCTCACAACAATGTATGATTTGACACGAACACACACAATCAATTTACCAGTCATCTCTGCCCTGTCACTTCAAAGAGGTCATGTCTACACGTTGTCACTTTGTATACCGTCAAACTGGGTCTACGAATATTGTGTGTAGATAGAACCTTCAATATTAGCATATTTATTACACCAACAGGTTTCTTCTGGGGGTGTTTACACATGTACGACGGCCATTATCTACCCTGACAGTGTGTTTGTGTGTAACGTTAAAAGTAATTAATGAGATTCTAATACTAAAAGGAGAAATCTTCTAAATGATGCCTTGATTTAAGGACACCAGGGATATCGTGACGTTGCACTGACAAATACAGCCGAAGCACCTGCAGAAACCTTTCAGTAAAAGCCGCTCGTATGTTCTTGGGATAAAGCAGCGACAAAGAGGTGCCATGTGTGCCTTCAAATCCCAACAAAGAAAGGACTCCCAAAGCTCCATGACATGTACATGTGCAACCGCTCTTAAACTCAACTCGCAGCCATTCGCCCGCCCATCATGGAGGATGTGATGGAGCGTCTCACCTCGCTGCGTGACAACTTTTAAAAAGATACGCCCATCTGTTCTCTCGTCTCAAAAAACACCTTGCACGTGCTAAATCACCTCCCAAGGTTTTGGGAGGGCGGGAGAAGGCTCGCAAAAAACGCGGAGAGACATTTAAACAGGAAAAGAATTGCCTGCTGTGTGTGTGTGTGTGTGTGTTTGTTGAGTTGGGAAGGATCCTGTTTCCAGATGAAGAGAGAGATAACAATTGAGAGCAAAAGAATAAAAAGAAATTAAAAATGAACTGCAGACGCAAAAATATTAAGAAGGGAAAAAGGCAAACTGTGGAAAAGAACATTGAAGGAAGTGGGAAAAGAAAAATAATACATTTATGCACTATAGCCAGAACATTTGACATTCCTTACTAGTCAGGGCTGTCTGAGGTTTGGCGCCTTCTACTGCAGCTAGATTTATTCTACTCTCGTATTTTTACAACACGGCTTTACTTTGCTTTCTTATTCATCTAAAGACTTCATGCATAGAGGGTTCTTTGAATATGAGATTGATGGGAGCTTTATGCACCCATCCTCCCGCCAGGGGTGTCTCTTTAAAGTATGATGTTTTTGTCATTCAATCCCAGCAGTTAAACAAGGGAGTAGCAGCCTGAGATCGCCCTGTAAATGTCCAGCTCTGGTGGTTGGAGTCCATATGTTTGGAGCACATGACCTACAGGCTCGTATATAATAGTTAGTTCATATAGTTCAGTTTAATTTAAAATACGCTTTATCTTGCTGGAAGGAAGAATGGGTTTTGATAATAGCTGGTTAAAAACGATCGACTCGACGATTTAGTGAGCGCCTATCTGTCGCGCTATCTCACCAGCTTGGTTGGTGGTGATGGTGACCGCAGCGTACTGCCTCATCTTGGGCGCCAGCGACGACACGCCGTTCAGCGCTTCGATCTCAAAGGTGTAGTTAGTGTGGGCCAGCAGGTCTCCCACCGTCACGGTGGTGTTGTGGAGGCCCGAGGCTCTCGGCAGGAAGTGAACGTTACTCCGGCAAGGCTCGCAACGCAGGTTGCCGCCGCTACTGCCGTTGGCGACGCCACCCCCGCGGCAGCGTTTGCAGAGGACGGTGAAGGTGACGTCCCTGCGGCCGCCGGCGTCTTCCGGCCAGCTCCAGTCCAGGATGACGGAGGTCTCGTTAATGGAAGAGATCACGTTTCGAGGAGCCGAAGGGGGTCCTGGAGAAGGAGGTGAAGTGGGGTGGAGGTTAGAATGAAAGGAGAATGAAAGAAACAAAGAAACAAAGAAACAAAAGTAAGTAAATTAGTGGAAAAGGTAATGGAAGAAAAGAAGTGGGCAAATAACGGGAAGATTGGGAATGGGATAACTTCAAGCGCAGTGAAGTAAGATGAGATTCAATTTCGCAGCAGTTGTTCGCCGAGGAAAATGGCAAAAAAAATGACAGCATCGTCCACAAAATCATCCACAAAAAAACACTGTGAAACACAGATTGACGTATGAAAGTACAAAGTACGGATCCTTCTGTAAAGCTATGACGTCACTGTTCCCTTTGTAATTACACGAGTAACAAAACAAAACTTGCAGGAGAAGAAGGGAAATGGGCGACGTGGAGAAAAATGTTTGCTTAGGTCGGTTTGAGTATGAGACAATTTACTTCCCTCCCAAACAATGAAAGGCTCCAGTCATGGTAATCTGCATTATAGTCTTTGCGTGTGATTGCGCAAGATACAAACCAGAAGGTAGATCAACCTAACATTCGAAAATAGAAAAATCCTAATGCCAAAAGGAAGACGATACAACATTTTATATATGTGTTCTGGCTGTAAACCAGTCAGTAACTGCATAGCTAATAACTCTATGCTAAAACATTTTTGTAGCACATCAAGACATCAAGGACGGCTTCCCCCACTACGGCCTCACAGTCAAGGAAAACATTTGCATGGCAACAGAGAACTGTGTGAAGAATTTCCAGCGACATTGGGAATAACAGACGTATTTCTAACAAAATGTATACAGACTTGTGGCTTCTGCAGGAGTGAACCATTGTTTTACAGTTCCATAGCTCCTGGTGAGTTTACTTTGGTAACTGTATTATGGTCAATGTCCCGATTTAGAATATAAACAGGGTTTTTACCACGGAAAACATACAATTAAATGATTTCAGGACAACATTACGCTCTAGGGACAATTCGTGTTACAGGATTCTAGTTAAAATTATTATTACTGTTTACTGTCTGACATGATCGAAGTCTCATACACTTGCACGTACTTCGCCATCCAGTTTCTATCATGAAAATAAAAGTTTGTTCAAGCGTGTTAAGTCACTGAGCCAGTAGCAGCAATTACACCAAATCATATCTCAGGATCTGCTAACACAAGGTGAAACTCCATTAAGAGAAAGTGGCTTATGAATGCATTCTATCATCACTGCATCTGTTATTAGGAGTGAATATTTCATGTATGTATGTTCTTCGTTAGTAATCTGACCCCGACAAGCCTCTGGCCGACCTGACTGCCCTGACCAAATCAAAAGCTGTGATTCATACAAGATATTAGCTGTGCAGGCAATCATACACCAATCACACATGTCAAAACAATAACCGGACATGTGTGATATGAATTACGGTGTGTAATAACGGGAGATGTGTGTGTGTGATATTAAATGTATTGGCATTCTTTCTAGGCTCTTTCCAGCCTCCTACTGGTCACTGGAGATCACTAGATTTTTGAAAAAAGGAAAAGGCCAAAAAAAGGCAGCTGAAACTGAATTATTGTGAGCAGACATACTGTATACACACCGTCAAGACAGCTGTTACCCAACACTTTGTGTTGGATGAAACGAGTCCTTGTCATTTTTTTTCATCAGTTTAGTGTTCTAATTTTTCTGCCAACATTTTCAAATTTCCAGAATCAATTCTAGACAACCTCTATCCCACCGCTACCACTATGATCATTATCTTCTAACAACTTATCTACTCATTCGCAGCTCAATCTACCCCAATGAGGTGAAATTTGCCTAGTTGACAAGATGCCGTTGAGATAATCTCAACAGGGGCCGTCCGTGACTGTCGTTCTGATTAGGATCCTGTCTATGGCTGGGGGCATTGTTTTGTATTTTATAGTGCTCTCAGCATGCTGCGAGAATTCATTTTTTTCTTCTGTATTGCCATCCCATCTAGTAACAGATGTATCCCTAACCTGATATCAGGGAATGCAGTGACTCATAGCTTAATGGGGAGATGCCTTTTGGAAAGCTCGCGGGAGGTCTCTGCATCTGCACCCCATTTGCATCGGAGGGATTCAAAAAGAGTCACGTGGAGAGAGGAAGGTGATGAAGCGTGTTTGGGAAACCACGACTATGGTGACCTTTAAACTAAATATCAGGTGAATGAAGACGCAATCTTCTGCAATATACGAACCCAACAATGAATGACATACTGTTTACTAAACAAATACACTGGATTGAATCTGGAGTCTATACAGCGTGCATACACAATATCAATCTGTACTATAAGCATAACAATATGAGGCAAAGGCAAACGTGGGCATAGCATTTGAAACCATTCCCACCATGATAGGACACTATCGCCACACTAAACACACTAAACGCAATGCTGCGATATTGAAGCACACTTACGGGTACAGGCCATGGATGCAGGATCTCCATCGGCACGGAAGTAGTTTTTCTCACAGCCGCAGTGCAGCGACCCCTCATGGTGTGAGAAACTATGTGGCGGGCACTTTGCACACTCCGTATTTCCCAGAGTAGATTTGTAGAAACCGGCCCTGCACACTGGAGACAAAAGGACACAGACGGATGCATGAGTGTCATGCACATAGATGGCCGTCTCATTGCTGCACTCTTTTGCAGGTGCACCTGCAAGTAAGAAATTAAGGATTATTTAATGCACACAATGCACGCACAACACACACACACACAGACACATTAAAAAATGCTTTATTATATTGAGGTTGTAGATTTTAAATAAATCTGCTGAACCCATTGACTGCTGTTTCAAATAAAAAAATGGAATTGTCTTTTTCTCTATTTCTCTCTTCTCTCAGGAGGAAATAGATGAATAATGCAAATTGTCCCCTTGGATAAAAGGACTGTTCTTTTTAAATATCTGTTAAATCTGCAGTCAGCATCTCTTTTAACTCCAACTCACCACAAATCTGTTGCAATATGTGCAAGTAGTGTGATGCCACCTCTACAAAGTATATTTCATGTGTAAGTGTATGTGTCTGTGTAGGAAGGGAGATCAAATGCAACATTCCCTGATGTGTTCTTTTCACATTTCTGTCTTAATTTAGTTCAACTGCACTTTTTATTTTGTCTTATTTTATCCTCTTTAACAAGTGTATTTACTGTCGATAACCGGTAGGGTTCAACACCAACGGCACACAATAACTGCAATTTCAGAGAACACGGGTTGAATTATTCCCAAAATATGGAGGAAAATAGGAGTTCAGAATCAGAAAATGTCATATGTTTTTGATATATATAATAGAAAAGGGGATTGTGTTTATGGCTTTTGAGACACTATTATATGACGATTTGTATCAATGCATGGTTGAACAACCATTCGTGCTACTTTGTTTTTTCTAGTATCGAAAACATATACAGTGTAAAAAAAGTATTAACTGGTAAACATTCGGGTGCCTATGAATAAAATTGAGTTCCTAGCATGAAAAGCACTTCACACAGTTACGTTGACGGCGGAAATGAAACGCCGCAGGTGTGGTTGCATTCAGGGAAAATCTACTTTTAGGAAAATCTGTCAACTTACTCCTTTTATAATGCTTCAAATATTTTCTGTATATTGATTTATTTAGTTCTTATGCTGCCCATCCCCTACGTCATAACCCACAGAATGCACAGCAGGTGCACACACACACACACACACACACACACACACACACACACACACACACACACACACACATCTTTACAACATGAAGGAGCCAAATAGATCAGGCATGTTCTCTCTCTCTCTCTCTCTTTATCTCTCTCTATCAGGGCACACACACACACACACGCAGACATGCACATACCAGATAAAAAGAAGTGTCTAGCCACAATAGCGCGGAGGCAGCAGATTGTGTGGGCTCAGCAGAACAGGTCTGAGAGATCCCACCGGTACACAACATTCTTCTGCAAAAGCCGACCCTGCTGACACTACTGCCACAGTCATTACTGGCTCTGGCAGACCGAGGTCCCACGCTGCCTTAAACACTACTCTTCCTCCCCTTTACAGTGTGGCGTTGAGTCGGCATCAATGCACGCTTGTAGGTCCGTGTGTGTGTCCGTGTGAGTGACAGAGTAATAAAAGGAGAAGTGAGCTTAAACAGCCTAATATAATCCTACTGATGGAATGACAACCACAGCACTCGCTGGTTAACACAAAACAGACCACCCTGATTGGTTGACGTATCAGGAAATGAAAGTTGACACCCGGCACCGACATCCAATCAGGTGAGAGAAGCAGCAAGATAACTCCTGGGTCAGCAGAAATGCACGAGTAGGAGGAGAGAACAGGACTGTAGATGAACAGACAACAGTCTCGTTGCGGCGACCATCTGGGATCTGATCCCTCTAAGACCGGCAGACCGAGCACACATGCCCCGAACGAAGACCAGACAGGACTGGGAGTCTTTAGGACTGAATACAATTCAAACCACTTAGCACATCCTTAATATAAGAGGAAGGAACATGTCACAAAGCTAAAATCTTTTGGGCCTTCTGCAACCACTGGAGGAACTTAACATCTCACTAGACACGGCCAAGTCAACACTCCACAAACGTCAGGAAAACAGCCTCATTTCCACTCGAAAGTAAAAAAATATACGGGACCCTTTAGTGCGTTACACATCCGTGAAACTTATTAGGCACACACAGGATCACATAAACTTGCAATGTAAAACTCAATAAACAACTGCATTTACGGTGTGAGGTTTTTATATGACAGTGTAGTGATGTGTTGCATTTTCCTGACTGCAAACTCTTAAAACATATTTTTATTAGAGTAGAAAAAGGATAATAAAGGCTTTTTCATCCCTGTGTGTCTGCGAGGATAAAACGTAGCTCTGACAAAGGCTGATGGGAAAATGAGAAGTGCCTTGTAGGAGAACTACTCACGTAGAGGAGAACCAAGTTGTGTTACACTGATATTCACCAGCAGTGTCTGCAGGCCCATGAGTGGATACTAAGATACTGTATGTATGTGTGTGTGTGCGTGTGTGTGTTAAGGCACCCCAGGAAATAAAACCCAGCACCTCAGCAGATGACAGAGTATGTGTGATTAATTAAAAGATCTGTGTGTGTGTGTGTGTGTAAATAACACATACACTTTTCACAAGAGCATCACCTCCTTGACAAATAGAAAGAAAATGAAATATTTGCAGAGGAGAAAAAACATGAAGGTTATCCCCCTGAATCATCTTTTATTTATTTTCAAATCGATACCAGCAGCAGGAACCGCATGTAAGGTCTGTATCACTGTATCCCTGTAAGTAGTCCTTTGTGACACGCAACGCGCGCACACACACACACACATTACATTTTTACACTTTAAACCCATGGCGACACAACGTCTTGCTACTTTTGACGTAATCACAGCGGAAACACAATCCCTTTGTTCGCTTTTAAAGAGCGGTGCACATTTACACGCACACACACACACACACACACACACACACACACACAATCATGCACATGGGTACATGTGCACACATACAGCGGCAGCAGCCACAGGATATGCTGCTTGGAAAATAACTGGGGCTGCAATTTGCTCAATCGATAGCGTAGGTCATGGGACACCCTCATCAATAATTAACACGGCTGCTGGACGGTCCAGTGGTCACATTTCCTGTCCCTCGGTTTTACGACATCAAAGTTGACAACCTAACCTGACCTTGATGAGACCGAATTATTTTATCATGCATCTTTTAAATGGGACCAATTTTTGAGACCACAAAGAGAGTTAGTTGTCTAAATGTTGTGATTTGAACGATATTTCACAATAGAAAACACGTGAGCAAAGATTTCACTTAACATGATACTTCCTGACCTCAAAGGATACGTGTAAATGAACAAAAGTGGGAAAGTACCTCTTCCCTTAACCCTCCGTTGCATGCGTGAGCCCATCCTGAAGCTCAGGATTTGGTCTCCATCGCTCTCTGTCTTTCTCTCTTTTGCAAACTTGAAGGTTCCGAGCGGATGCAGCCGGAGCAAAACGCCGACCCAACAATTGATTTCCTCTTTCCACACCACCTCTTTTCTTTTTCATTACAACAAGATCCCAATGACTTTCACTCCCACTCTCCTCCCCTTCCATCTTCCTCCGTCTCCACCTCCCCTTTCATCCTGCCCACCCGCCTCCATCTTTTCTGTGGCTTTGCCTTCCCTTTCTCTTGCTCCATCCTTCCCCCTTTAATTGGAATAGCTCTCTTTGAAATGGAAAAGTTATTTACTTTGACAGCTTAGGCATTTGGCTAGCGGTCTTCTCGGAGCCACTTGTAATGTTACTGGAAACATGGCAACAGTAAACAGCTTGCCCCCTGTCCTGAAATCCGCCTTTGGTACCAGTAAACAAGCCACAGGAATCTGGAAAAGGTCAAAGTCTTTGATGAAACCGTGGTACATTTTGATGGGAAATTTAGCCGCTTTATACTCGTGTTACTGTTGAAGAGAAGTACGTTTTGCCACGACGCCGCCAGATGAATGAGAAAAAACACAAATATGCACGCACGGCTCCATTTTCATCAACTCATAAATGATGATCCTTTTTCCAGCCATCGGAATATTAGCAGAGAATTGAAGAAATTAATGCTTTATGAAGGATTTGTGGCATGTTTTTCTCATTTAAAAAACACTGAATTTTGGCACAAAATACATAGATACATATTGTCGTCTGCATAACTTTTCTGGCCAACAGAGAGAGGGGCACAGACATCCATAAAGCTGAATTACAATCAATTTATTAAAGCTAATATGTGCGTAACCCTATAAAATGAACTCATTCCTGTCACACATACGAATGAAAGCAATCATCAAAATTGATAGGTCGTGTGTTGGGGCAAATTACTGCGCATTCCATCCATCATACGTTCAATTATTTTGTCATTTGGCATAATAATCACATTGGGACCATGTTGGGAGTCTTTTCTCATGTCAGTTTGGCGAGCCAATGAGCTGTCGCAGGCCAGCCCGAGCAGAGGAGGGATTCTGTACAATGGCAGGTTTCCAGAGCAAATATCCATCAACTAGAGGACACATTAACTATCCACACTAACCCTTTAAAGTATTTCTGATGAGAGCTGCCAAAGCTAATCAGAGTATAATGATGGCCTGTGAGGAGCTCTCAGCTCTTTGGGTCGTAATTGCAGATGACTCTTATATTGTGGTCGTCTCTGTCCTGCGCTGGCGCTGCACTCGTAGAACGTGGATCGGGGGGATGTAGCTGCAAAATCAGCAGAAAAAAATGTAAATTTCCTGTAACTGCTCAAATGAATCACTCCTCTGTGGAACATTATGAAATGAGCACAACCATTGACGCATTAGACAATGGAATGGCCCACAATTTTATTTTAATGCTAATAGGAAATAATAGTGATTGATTAATAGTACTAGTGAGTGCACATTTCTGTATCCATGCAAATTAAATTAATATAATTCATCAAATGGCAACCTGTCAGCCAGAATCTCACAGCCCTTCTGTGGGGATTTTAACCTGAAAACAATATTTTCCCTAAACTAACAAGTACAAGTAACTGGACTGTTGCCTGTGAAGACAGAATTTTATTTTGGGC